CATCAGACAGACTTTAGATACATTTTCTCATTGGCCTCTCAAAACAAACAGGAAATTACTTCACAAGTGGCTCTTGCGTAAACAATTAGAACATACAGACGCACACACTTTGGACCATACTATCAAAGTAGGCAACTTGTCATATCAAACTGTAATTATTGCTGAGGTTTGAACAGGAATTGTTCACTGCCCAATTTGATCTAAATATGCAACCCATCCCTGCCACTGCTATGTATTCTATTATTCTTCCAAAACCAAATCAAAGTATGGCCATTGCAATAACATCCACTACCATCTCAGTCATCAAATCAGTCATCAAATCTCTCCAACATCCATTTCATTGATATTACCCTTCAATCAAGCAAATGCATACTGACCAAGTATATAAACCTATTATAATAACACTGCATTATTACTTCAACATGTAGTGTATTTTAAAACATCCAATATTACTTCAGTTATCTCTTCCTGTTAATTTCCTTTCAACTGATCAATCAATGAATCAGTAGGTTGATCAGTCAGACATTCAACCAATCAATCAATCTTTCAGGTTCACATATTATAAATTCAGCTGACAACAGCACATCCCAGAAATGTCTATTATGTGGCTAAAATTACTTGATCAGTCTTTTTAATGTAAATACCTCTGGTTCTGCCTGTATTCAGTAACTTGTACAAAATCAGTTGTAATGATAGAGTAACATGATGTACATAAATGCCAAATACAAAATGCTATGAGCTGTATACAATGTTTGGTATCTGCTAACACGACCTTGTTCCATAGAAAAAAGCTCTAAGGAATGTTTGTTACCTTGATTGCAGGTCCAAATAAAAAAGGCCAGTTTTTAATCACATTTCAGTTAAAAAGTCAACTACTACGGTATATATCTGAGGAGGGGGTGAAGGGTAATGGGGAGAGAGAGAAAGAGAGAATTGTTGCAGATTTTAGGCAACCTTGGAAACCATGGAAACTTGGAGAATTAATCAATCTGACACTGACAAGGCGCTCTCAATAAAACTGAGTACCCTGAGTTATATAGAGTTACTAAAAACTTTTATCAACAGTAAACCTTTGCTATTTCCACTAACACCCTGAATTTCAGACAGAGTTTCCAGAAATTTAACTCTATCATCAGCATGTCTCTGTGATGTCCAGTAACACCCTGAGATCTGTTTCAATAAACCCTGAAACTCAGGGTGCTCTCTGAGTGAAATCAATCAAACAAAACAGATTTTTTTTGGTCTGAGTCTGCCAGCCAATATCTTCATTGACTTGGTATCACGTTATATTTATTGAGTGAAATCTTCACTGAGCTGAGAATTACACCAGGCACACTAGACACAGACACACTATACCCAGATAAAACCACACAGGATATGACTTTTTATGTACTAGTAGTTCATTTAATTATCTTTCTACTCAATTTTCTTTTTTATTAGTCAGGAAGTGATACTATCAGAATGCTGACAAAATTTTCTGCAAGCAGACAAAGATAGATACATTTTTCCCGTCTCCACAGCCCCCTCTCCCTCAAGAAAATAGAACATTTTCACAAGTATCAGCCATTACAAAACAATTTTCCTTTCCATAATGCTGCTGTCACTCTCAACAAATAAGTTCATCACAACTCAATTTTGACAGCAAGGAAACACATCATCTCTCGGAGCGACCAATCTGCACATAGTTAGCCATCTTTCCTGGAAATTCCCCAGAGCAGACAACAGATGGACTGGGTTCCCATTCCTAGAACGATCTAACAGGATCGATCCATCTCCATGGGGTTTCTCACTAAATTGCTTTCAGCTTAAGTGGCTTAGATGTCTGGCACGCCCTCTAAATCTGCTAAACGATAGGTAATTACCCCTATCAGCTTCAGTAGGCATGACAGACATCTAAGCCGCTGAAGTTAATTGCAATTCAGTGAGAATCCCCCTGGAGATAGTTCGATCCAAAGTTAGTATGATAGGGTCTGGGAATGGTCTTACAGACTGATATGGCTACTGTAAAGTGGCTTTGCTTAAGACCTCAATATGTTTTCCATGATCGCTGAATTAGATTATGTTTTCCAGTGGCTTAAAATTAGATTTCTCATTCAACAATTTTACAACCAATCGTATAATTTGTCTTCAAAATTTTAATCTGAAAACTGATGATTTGAATGAGACAAAGTGAATAAAAATCTATTCTCCATGACCCGAGAGAGCCTAGAGTTGGAAAAAGACAGAAATATGGCATATGTGAAGCCAAGGCCTCTGAAGGAATTTCCCACATCTATTACTACAAGTCAAACATGATTTTTTCAACCAGTCAAAGATATATTTCGACTCATCTTCCTCTAGATGATTACACAAAAGAGCAGCAATAAATGTAATTCACTGTAATTTTCTGTACATCATTTTTGAACATGATACTAATGATAGTCTCAATGACAGAGGTAATCTTCATGATGGAGTTAAAATCAATTTGTCTAACCGCACAACCTGACTCCAAGACAACAGCTGCAATATATCGTTTGTCACATATACATTACAAATTCTTCTTCTAGTTATTCAATTTTATAATAATAGTGATGATAATATAATAATATATGCAATTACACTACTGACTTTGGGTTAGGTCATCTTGATAAATTATTAACCCTCAGCTGTGATAATTGACCCGCACCAAAAATCATTGCCATCATTTATCTAATCTTATGATGCATATTCTAATTTTAGTTATTTCACTCCAATATCATTATAAACAATGGCAGGAGAGAGAGGGGGGAGGGGGGGGGAGGATTAGACAGGAGCCTGGGTTTGGCAATACAATCTTTAAACATTTTACAGGAGATCAAATACTGAGGCCCCTGGGAATTTAAAATTTTTGAAATTCACTGGTTATGTGAAAAAAGCTCATGTCTGGGGGGGGGAGGTGGGATTCTGGCACTTATCTTATTCCTGAAGTACAAAACCAGAAGTAAAGTATCAGTGTGACGGCTGATCTCACACCTTTTAGAAACAGAATCACTAACCTTTATAAATTCTCAATTTCTAGAAACAGGTGAAACCAAGTCTTTTTCTTTTTAANGCTGATCTCACACCTTTTAGAAACAGAATCACTAACCTTTATAAATTCTCAATTTCTAGAAACAGGTGAAACCAAGTCTTTTTCTTTTTAATTTTTTTTTTTTTTTTTTTTTTTTTATTTTGTTCAAACAACTACTTACCATTATAACTAATTCTTGGTCGTGTTAAACACATGACTAGATGACACTCTATATCATCAGGCAATACCAGCTTGGAACAAATTGGACACTTGAGCCCTGGAAATAGGAACATAACAGAGCATAACCTCAGATGATGATGACAATGAAATGAGCAACTGTAGACTAATCTATGTTACTTAATGATAAAAGAAAACATAAGGGGATGGGAAACGTTGCATTTTATGACTGGTTGGAATGAAGTATTCTGATTTACTACAAAAGTTAATTTCAAGTATTTTTTTTTCAGTATTGCATGCTATTGCATAATATTATGGTAAAATGTACTGGAATGTAAACTCATGGAATCCACTACATACCAAATTTAAATATTTTTATAGTCATATCTAAAACTTCAAAAGTCATTGGGACATGAAATACATGATACTATAAATGGGAAAATAATCAACATCTCTAAAGCAATTCAACTTTTATTTGAAAAACATTTTATTTTTGTATACATCTATAATTCATGCAAGACACAACTCAACAATTTGTCTGTGCACAAACAAGAAATGCAAATGCTGCACGTTATACTATTATGGGCTACTTTATATTAAAACATGCTCATATGATGTTATCTACGCCCTATGGTTATGTGTTGTATAGATAGCTGTGAATATCATTTACACACCCCTTAGTAACAAAAAATAGCTCAGGAAAAATGTCAAGGCTAGCTGATAAAAATTAGTCTGCTTGTGTAACCAGAGAGTTGGGCTTGGGGGAAGACAATCAAGTAGAAATGTAGAAACAGAGAGGGAGTTCAAATCATGTGCGTGTCCATGTGTGTGTTTGTGTGTGTGTGTGTGTGTGTGTGTGAGAGAGAGAGAGAGAGAGAGAGAGAGAGACCAAACATAAGAAACTATATTGTAAACAAATATATAACAGCAAACAGGTGACTACCATTGCATAAATAACTCCCTGCCCTATCTGCTACTCTTCACTGCACACCTGCCATGACGGATGAAGTATAATGTCAGGTATGACATTACAACGCCTTCCTCCCCACGTTAGCACACCTCATTAGACAGGTAGACAACATATCACCTGTACAGCATACAACTATCTACACCCACCTGTGAGCTTTAACAAGTAGGATATATAGTGTCTCTCTCTCTCTGCATGTGTGTGTGTGTGTGTTCTCTCTCACTGCATGTGTGTGTGTGTGTATGTGTGTGTGCGTGTGTGTGTGTGTGTTACCCAGATAGACTGATTTATCCCACCAGTTGAGCAAGCTGGGTATAGCTATAGTATCAGTACTACCAAGACCACTAAACAGGCCACCATGACACAAGATTACATCTAAACTTGTTTCTTCAGAATATTATTATTATCTAGTATAAAAGACATGTACTTGAGATGATGCCTTTTATCTACAATCATCATTATTACTTTTTAACTGAAGTTACAGAGGCAAAAACTTGTGACAATCTCTTCATCTGTGCATGTGTGGGAGCACTTTCATATATTTGCGCGCATGTGTGTGCATGCCTGTCAGTCAACATCCCAAGTTTTAGACTCATAACTCAAACACTCTATAGTCTCTACTAGTCCCATTATTGTATTGCAAAACCAGACAACTATGTACAATGAAATGTTCAGTCTGGCCCAGCAACAACTGCTATAATCTCTTGACATGGACATGTACTGAGCACTTCTTAATGGGTGGCCAATTAGACGTGCCTTGTTAATTGAGGCAATTAGCAGATGACTGGCAGATCCTTGATATGTTAATTGACTGACACAGCCTTGTATTCATGGTTTATTGGTATCAGGTAAAGCAGAGAAAAGGCAGGAAACTTTCCCCTTTCCCCAAATTTTTCCAATTTTCTAATCTTTTCATATAAAACCCAGCAATGTTCTCAACTCTCTTTTACACAACGAAAAGACAAAATTTTTTCCAAAGAAGGAAAATCTCATCCACATATTCTGTGCCTGAAACTTGTGGTTTAAAATACCAGGCCTCCTTCTGCTTTCCACTACATGCCTCTTCAAACATCTGAGTTGCTTCCAAAAACCCACAACAGTAAATTAATCTCCTCCATCATCTTAATGTGAGCAAAGTTCACTCCAGGTGAGGATTTGAACAGGTACACATGGCACCCGAGTCAGGTAAAAGAGGTGTCTCTCATCACCAGGTGAGAATCTGGATGCTCTGGAAACATCACCCTGCATCTCACAGTATCAGAAGTGATCTTCATAAACCATTCATCCAAAAAGAAATGTGCCCGATTTTCCCATGTAACTTTTGTTGTTAACCTGTAGAATTTTTAAAGTCTTACCTAAGCACCAAAACTAACTGAGGCTTGTTTCACAAAAGAGCCTCAGCCCTAAAATTTGTCTTGACTTTTAGACTGGGTTCCCATACCTAGATCGATCTAACAGGATCGATCCATTTGTAAAGTGTCTCTCAGAAAATTGCTTTTAGCTAAAGCAGCTTAGATGTCTGGCACGCCTACTGAAGCTGCTAAACGATAATTAATTACACCCTAGCTGCTTCAGTAGACGTGGCGGTCATCAAAGCCGCTTTAGTTGATTGCAATTTAGTGAGAATCCCTTCGGAGATAGATTGATCCATGGTTAGTACAATAGGATCTGGGAATGGTCCCTAAGACCACATTTTAGTTCACTCTCAATGTGCCTAGCTAGTACCAGCATTATTTCAGGGGCGGATTGAGGCTGTCTTCTGGGTCTTCCAGAAGACAGTCAAATTTCTAAGTTTACATTGATGAGTACCTAATTTTTTCTGTCGGAAGATGGTCAAAAAATGGAGGATGGAACAACAAAGATAATGTGGAAGACTGTCAGAAAATATCTCTGGATCCGCCCCTATATTTCATAATTCATGAAGTACCAGCAATGCACCAGAGTGACCATCTGTTTTGTACCATTATTACCTTGATGCTGATATAATCCCCTACCACATTTCTGCGTAAAGCTGATCTATAAGAGTACCTTCACAGGGACCATCCTTTTGAATGTACAGTATTCATTTTATTTTCATTCCTTTCTTTGAATACCTAAAAGCCCTATTTCTATAACCATCCTTTTGTTTCTAAATCAAGTCTCTGAAAGCTTCACGATTTCTCATTTTCAGCCACCACCATTTTGAGAGCAACTATTGCACACTTTAAAATAATCCAGTCTGAATATGAACCATGGTCTTATATCTTTCATGAGCCTAAATTAATAATTCTCTTTTTTCATTTTTTTCTAAATAGTTCCTGAAACATGAACAGGCAGCAGGAGTCAGGAACATATGTACTGGCAGACATCTTGAATACCAGTCAACCACTCTGGAAACTACCACCAGGAGACAAAAATGAAGTTTTTTTCTTATTCACTTTATCTGGAAAAACTACATTAGAAAACTTAGTGGGCGATAATAGAACATCCTGCTTGAGGTCCACATGTGAATATTTACGATAAAATATCCAATTAAATGCGAGGAATTTGAACGTCTGCAGGGCTGCAATCACATCAGAGGTAACTTAGATCTAAACTAGACTCACTGAAGCCAGCGCAAAACAAAATTTTGTAGAGACACCTTCTGTATTTAAGCTTCATCTGATGACACTTATACAGATAAAACATTTTGTGCAGGATACGTAAGGATCTCAAACTTAATACTTATTAGGACAGATTGATTAAAACAAATTAAGTTAAACCTGTGCATGAACATATTCTAAGACACTTGGGAAATTTTCTGTAAAAAAGGGTTGTAAAAAAAAAGCTTTAAAACCATGCATTTGCCCCATTTCATATATAATCTTCAATTTCATAGATACCACCACTTGAACCTTATGTGAAGTTCTACAATTTTTTAAGGTCTTATCTGCAGACAACTTCCATGCCAACTCTTAAAACAGTTTCAATGCTGCTGCCAATTTTCTAGTAGAAAATCTCTAAGATCGCCCACTTGGACTTTGTACAAAGTATCTCGATAAATAAAATAAAAGAAACATGCCAGATGCCATTTTTTGCCACAAATGGAAAGTAAGTTCCTAGCTCCTATCAATACATGAACTGGAAACATGCACATATGCACGCACTGATTCACGCACTCAAAAACACATGCGAACACACACGTATACTAGTTAGTAAAGCAATCAGGAAAATACTGAAAATCTAGAACTTTAAAGTTTTTCCTCATCTCTGCATAATTACACAGCTAAAGAACCCACGAGTAATTTTATAAACATATATTCAACAGACACACCATAATATAATACAGGTAAAGATTTGAGTTAATTCTAGAAGCTGGATAGTACTCCTCTAATGTTACCTGCGACCTTTTAACACTAAGGTTTGCATGATCTAGGCAAAATAAATGCACTTCACCAAGTCTCATGATAAAACTTATAAGTTGGCCTTAGGTTTATAACCTAAAACTGGTGTCTATCTGATCCACTATAGATTTATAGTGGTTCATATTACAATTAAGAGACAACTGGTGTTACTAGTATTTCATCTAAGATTAGCCATAGAAATTAGGCCAAATATCCTAACCTAAGAAGACTATGGGGCCATTAAGAAAGAGAAGAGCTGAGTGCTAGCTGGTCCACGGCCTAAATATGGCGGACAAATATGAAAGGAAGACCGCTTAATGGTCTCTCCGTTTCTTTCACGCCTCGACATGCAGGGGCACAGTAATTAAATCTTGGCTCAAATCAACCGGTGCAGAGACGACATGTGCAGAGGCATGTAAGAGGCAGAGAGACCATTACAGGATTAAGCGGTCTTCCTTTCATGTAGGTCCACCATATTAAGGCCGTGGAACAGTTAGCAGTCAGCTTTTCTCACTCTGAATGGCCCCTACGTCTGTCTTACTCTGGATTCAGTACAAAAACAATAAAAAATTTTAGAGTTAAAGTCTATCTCGACTAAAACTGACTTCAGTTCTTTTATGAAAATGGTCTTTAATCATCTAAATCAGATATAACTCTGTGATAAAGTCTGGTTTCATTATCTTTTCAATATTTTCAATAAAAGCCATCCATAACTGCCCAAAATACAGACTACGCAAAAATCTTACGGATCTAAACCTACATGTTTAATAA